TAATTAGGCTTTCGATTTTTGTTTTTGTTGTCTTTTTATCTATGTATGCCAGGGAGCTATATACTTTGAATGTTGTATATTTGTTTTGTTAACTGTGGTCTTAAGACATTTTTAGTAGTACTTTGTAATCTGGGTACTAGCATGTATTTTGGTCCAATGTGGCAAAACTATAATTGTGGCAATGTCACCTATTAAGTCATTGTGATGTATGGTCTGTTTGAACCTTAACTTTTAATTTACTCTAGTTACTCGATGTTAAATTACTTTCTGTTCATACCTTGAATTAGAAGGGTCTCTATTTTCACAACCTTTACAATATTAAAGGGTCTCTATTTTTTTTTTTTTTATTGCGATTATTTTAAGTTAAACTTAGACTATTACCAGTAAATTGTACATGAATTTAGTAATCCTTGTATATTATTATGATTTTTAAAAGTTAATTTTGAAAAGTTAGTTACCAAAGTTAATTAACATGTGTTACTATTAGAAACATATCAATTGATATCCCCATTTTATATGAACTTAATTAGGATATGTAAATATTCCATTATATCTACAACTTATTAGGTTATTAATAATGCAAGTACTGATAATAAGCCATTTTCCTATGATAACTCGATGTATTGAAGGCATATTCTTTAAAAATTAGCATGCATTGAGAAATCAAATAATTTTTTAAATTTCAATTAAATGATATGATATTTTAATGACCTTAAACATACTAGGTCATAACATTTATGTGATAAAAAATTCTTTTGAATTTAAATTTGTTTGTAATTATCAAAATTGAATTTGAATTGTTGTATCAAATGATAATTTTGTTATTATAACATAAATAAACAAACAAATAATATCTAGAATTAACCAAATCCTCAACAACTGATTCTGCAATGCATCTTATTCAATTATATATGGCATTAACTAAATCATTCTAATAATTGACTACAAATATAGCCCATGACATAACCAGTGCAAATAAAGTCACAGTTGTGTATGCAATATATTTGTTCTTCTCCATAGTTGATTGACATAATTGGCTTTTCAAGTCACATATTTGTTCATGAAATTGTGACTTTTTAATCTTCACTTTGTTTAGCTTCATAGTTAGAGATTCAACTTCTTTCTCAATTGCATCCAACCTCTTTGACGTCATCTCACACTCGACGCATCCACCGACATCATACAACCATTTGAAAAATCCACAGACAGCCTCCTGTAATTTATAAAAATTAAAAAAAAATCCTAATTGGTAATTGGAACCCTAATGAAAGATTATCACATTTACTCATATCCATTAAAATTGTTAAAATTAGATCACCATCCCTATACCATTTAAGAAATGACAAATGGGTTTAGAAAAAGTACCGCAAATTTACCACAACCACGAAATTTTCTTCCCCTATTATGGTTAGGCTTATTCACAATTCGAATCTTAGAGGAACGCCACATCCACATTTCACCATGAACCCCCCAAAACTAGAAAATGAACCGCCAGAAATGGAATTTTGTGAATCCCCCATTTTTTTGTTTCTTTTTTTTTTTTTTTTTTTGTGTGTGTGTTTGTGTTTAGTACAAGGGTGAGTGTTGGTTAAGGATATAATTGACGTTTTAAAAACTAACCTCCGAAAATCAAGGGCGGTCAGTTGAAAACTTTGAATTTAATTTGAAAAATTCAATGCACAATTTAATTGAAAAAGATACCGCGTCACTTTGTCAATTTAATTTGAACGTATAATATGCTTTATCCTGAATATGTTTGTGTCATTACCCGTTTATATAAAAATAATTTTTCTTCCGCTAAGGTTCATTTGAATAACAATCTAGTACTTAAACATTGGGCCTTAAACTACATATAATTATCATTAGGTATAAAACATATGTGACAAATATATCAATGTATTATGTAATGCTAATTTGACTCTTGCCTTGCCTCTATAATCGCGTAATGTATGACTAAATTCTTATGAATAGTTCTAACCATGGAATTTCTCTAAAGGTGGATGTTTTAATTAGTTATATTGAAGATAGGTGGATGTTTTAATTAGTTATATTGAAGTATATGCCTACAGAATTAAAACCACTAAAGTAGATATATAAGTTACCATTGATATCAAACCTTAGCTTGGTAACATAAAATGTGATTTGTCTAGTGAAGACCAAAGTCATATTCACTATCAATTAAGAATATAACAAAATATTAATGAATTAAAAAGCAATACTTGGTAATGTCCAAAGTAACGTATGGTCGTGGCCAATAACATATAGAGATGTTTCATATGGGTAATGTGCAATCTGTATTTGTGTTAATTACATATACACAAATAAGATTTAAATTAACATAGTGTATTTTTGGATCAAACAGGTTTCGCAAAAAAATTGTATCGGTTTCTTCTCAGAATTTCCTGTCGAACCCAGATTCTTGAAAAACTTAAAAATTTTGATTTCGATTGCATAAAACCAGCGATTTCGCATCAATTGATGGATTTTGTACAATAAAAACCAATTATTCAAGGATTAAAAACCAATCCCATTTGCGCTAAATATAGGAATTCGAAAAACTTAAAATTTCGAATATCCTGCTTAGATCTGGCCATATTTTTTATGTCAATCGTTGCGCAAGTACTCTTAAAGGAAACAAATCATTAATTGGATGTTAAATTCATCCATAGATGAAGAACATTGAAGAAGCATGAAGAACACGAAGAACACTGAAGAACAATTTTTTATATTTAATTTTTTAATTTAATTTAATTTTTGGATTTAATTAAAAAATGATTTTTGTAAAATAATTTCGAAAATAAAAAATAGAATTTCGGAAAATCAAAAAATAATTTCTGAAAAATAGAAAAGAATTTTAAATAGGAAAAATTAAAAAAAAAAAGGTTTGACCAACTATTTAAGGAAAGGTAAAATTAGCCAATCAAATTGAAGTATAGTGATGGTCATAATGAGAGTGACCATATTAGAATTTTCGGCTATTTCACCAAATGTCATTGAGTACTTACGAAATTCACCAAATGCCATCGTGTTTTTCAGAATTCACCAAATGTCACTGAGTTTTACACAAATTCACCGAGTGCCATTAATGACTGACAGCCGTTAGTTGACCCCACCACTTGCCACGTGTCACCTTTTGATTGGTCCGTTTTTTAAAATAAAAAAATAAAAAAAATAACAAAAAATTAAAAAAAATTAAAAAATAAAAACTGAAACCCAAACCCCAGCCACAAGCCCAGCCGCCGGCGGTCCCGGAACCCCAGCCACCAGCCCAGCCGCCGGCGGTTCCCGAACCCAGCCACCCACCACCTACGAAATCTCGTGAAACCAAACACCAACAATAATCCACAATCTAAAGCTGGTGGTGGAGGTTTCGGGATTTCGCTGGTGGATTTCGCATTGTGGTGCTGGTGGTCGGGGTTTCGGGATTTCATTGGTGGATTTCAGAGTTTCTAGTGGTGGTCGTTTCTGGTGGTCGGGGTTTTAGAGTTTCGCTAGTGGAGTTTCTGGTGGTGGTGGATTTGCGGGGTTTCTGGTGGTGGTCGGGAGAGAGAGAAAGCTCTGCTCGAAATATCACAACTCCCAACAATGGCGGAACACAGCGACAATGGCTTTAGCTTCGGCAATTTTAAATTCGAACCACCACTTCCTGCTTCTCATCTTCAACCTTAACCTCAAAACAATGGCGTCACTTCCACCTCCAAAATCGCCGACATTTGGGGCGATATCTTCTTCATTTTTCACCCCCTCAATCCTCCCCTTCTCAATCCTAATTCAATTTCCCCGATAATAATGGCTTCGGGGTGGTGGAGGAAGGGGGGTGGGGTTTCGGGGTGGTGGAGGAAGGGGGGTGGGGTTTCGCAGGTTAGGGGGTCGCGACGGGATAGGGGAGGGGTCGGGTTTCGGGGTGGTGGAGGAAGGGTGGTGGTGGCTAGGGTTTTGGGGTGGGCAGGGGGCTCGACGGCAGGGAGGAGGTGGTGGCCCTCTGTGTTCCTGTTTTTTTAAAAAAAAAAAATTTGTTGTTTTTTTTTCTTTTTTAATTTGCTATTTTTTTATTATTTTTTTATTTTAAAAAACGGACCAATTAAAAGGTGACACGTGACAAGTGGTGCGGTCAACCAACGGTCAACTAACGGTCGTCAGTCATTAATGGCACTCAGTGAATTTTTGTAAAATTCAAGAGCATTTGGTGAATTCTGAAAAACGCAATACCATTTGGTGAATTTCGTAAATACTCGGTGGTATTTGGTGAAATAACCGTAGAATTTTTAATTATTTATACTCCTTGTCCCTAAAAATAAGCTTGTATTTGAAAATAGACATCCCTATACTCTCTTCCCCCACCTCCTACTCTTTGTCTTCTTATCCAATATTCTATCCATTTGTTTTTAATTTTTTGTTTTATTATCCTTTTTAAATTTGTCTCATATTAATTTTGGTTGTTGAAATCCACTACATTAGTATCTATTACCTTTCCTCTTTTAAATTCCAAACAATCAAATTCAGATGATACAGAATTACGGACTATGAAATCAAACATTACCTCTAATGGAGCAAATAAAAAATGATGGAGGAAGTAGATAATATTTTGCATTGAACGCTTGTCTTATTCAAGTCTCAATCCCTTTAAAATTGCACGATTGTGAGTGATGCAAAGCTTAGGAATATCTAAGCTGAAAAGGATAGTTGATGCTCCATAATTTGGGTTTCACACTTCCACTCTCTCACATTAATTGCGGAATATGGACCATAACATTAACTTCATTAAGTTTTGCATGATTATATTTGGCCCATATTTCTAAATTAAGTCCACTTGGCCCAATTCAATTGGCCCACTTCCCCTACATTGATGCATTTTGTCAGTTTGTGTTATAAATTTACAAAATTAGGATAAATTGATGTAATCTTCCATGAAGTCACTTACATCGAACCAAATTGGTTAAACAATTTAGAAGGTAAGATAAGTCGGATTAATTATATCAAATTAAACAAGTTCTAAAATATTCTCCGTATATTGATTATCATTTCTCCATTATTCATAACTCAAAAGAGTAAACCATACATAAAGTTACTACTTACTAGAGTAAAAAAATCTTCAAAACATAAAATTCCGAATAATTTTTTATTTTGTTAAAAAAAAAATTCAAGTTTGGAAACCACAAAGGGCCCAATTAGCTTCACTTCCAACACGAGGCATAGTAGTTTTCTTTGAGTTGATATCCACCTTAAAGTTTGCTCCACACATCGCCCCTTCACTGTCTGTTCTTGGCATTGCCTTCATTTTATTCTTTGGATGTTCAAAGCTCATTAACCCTACTTCACTGTGGTACATACACCCTGTAAAACCATAATTAACACACCCCGAATTAACATTCAATTGTCGTAATTAATTGAAGAGTAGTCGTCTAAAGTGATCAGATATGACATTAAATAAAATACTTGGATAGTTGAAATTAAGAGTCCGAGTAATAGGTAAGGATTGGTTTAGGAAATCAAGGGACTGCAACCCATTAGGTAAGTTAACCACATTTATAATGGCTTACAATTTTTAGATTAATAGCCGGTGGGTTGAGATTTCAACCCACAACCCATCGACTAGACCAGCCTGCCTAATTAGCCTAAAATTGATGTTGGTATGGGCTTAATCCAGACCAACGTCCATTAAGTTGAACAAATTTAATGAGCTTAATTACCAGATGGAAAGGGTGCAAAAGATTTAGCACAGCCTGATTTTATGACATCCAAATTATCAGAAATAACAACAGAACCATCAGCAGCAATTCCCCAATAAAGTTTAACTCTTTGATCTGTCCCCTGTTCACCAACAGGTCAAACAATTTTCAGTCAATAAAACAAAAAAATATATTTTTGTGGACAAAATTGTAAAAATTTTAATTTTGAGAAACTTTAATTACTTGAGCAGCAAAGACAGTCCCAGCAGTTTGATCAAATATGACAAACCCAAAGCAGCCTTCAAGATCCTTAAGGACTTGATCAGCCGGGTACGGGCCACGGTCTCGGAGGGTCCGGTAAGCTTCAATGACAAACATGGCTTCATTGGTAGCTCTTCCTAAACCATATTGCTTATTTAAGGCGTTCAAATTATGCAAACTCCCCAAGAATATACAATACATGTTGTCCATCCCACTAAACAACCTACAAAAATATGTGTACATTTACACAATTAAAGTTAGTGTAACAAATTGTATACGTACTCATTTTAATATAATAACAGCTGTATCTCTTTTTTTTAAGTTGTCACGTTGACCCACAAACCATTTGACAATTAATCATGGACTAAAAATTTTCAGCTTCCAAATAACAAAACAACAATAATATAAGAAATAAACAGGTTAAATTTAGCACCTTTGGTGATGAACTTGAGGACCTTTAGAAGAGGAATAAGCAAGAAAAGCAGAATTGCCAAAACCAACAGAAAGAGGGGTATTTTGGGAATAAGCTTGTTGGAAAGTTTTCACAATATCTTGAGGGTACTTGGGCTTATTACCCGACCCGGATGAATGTGAAACCGGGCTGTTTAGCTCCTTTGGTGGATCCACCAAATCCTTGTTGAATATAGCCAACATTTTTTTAACTTAACTAAAGAAAAACACTTAACTCTTAATTACAAAGTTAATTAGGAGATTAGATGATGATTAATTTTGTGAATGAGAGTGAGTAGAAACAACATAGAATATATGAAACAAAATGATGTGTGATGTTGGGTTTATTTAGGGTGGTGTGAAAAGATAGATAAACAAAGATGTTTACGCAAATGCAAGTTGTTTTTGACAAAAGTACAATAATAATATATCATTGTGATCTGTCAATCTAATCCTTTTTTTTTTTTTTTTCTGTTATGAAATGAGTCATTTATTCTACTTACCCATAATATTCTTGATAAGAAGTACTCCTTATTTAGTTTTGGATCAAAGATGATATGTTGTAATTTTGAAATATCTTAAATTTACTCGTTTACATTTTATTAATATTTTGATAATTTTTTTTTGTTACATTTGAACTTTTAATCTAAGCAAAATTTATTAAATGAGCAAAAAAAAATTTGTTAGTAGTATTCAATTTTAAGTTTATTTGAGTGTTGTAGACATTTTGCTATATTTAAACTAGTGTGAATTTGGACGAATATATATGTTTCAATTGTATTATTTTTAAACAACCAAAAGAAACTAATATGAAGTACATAAAAGTGTAGATACAATTGTATAAACTACAATTGTTCAAAAATTATAATTTCATCGTTTTTTCCAAATTGAAGTGTAATAAAAAAAATGCTTCAAATTATTATCTCATTCGTACAAGATTTTCATTTTAACAGAAGATCTTACAAGATATTTTAAGATACTTACGCATAAAATTGTAACGCATAACGGTATAATGATACGGAGTAGTGAGAACGTTTCCTTATCTTAATGGGAGATTATAAATCTAAAAATTGAAATTAAAAAAAAAATTAAAAAATAAAAAATAAAATAAAAAAACATCAATGGAAGATGATTATTTTCTTAACATGAATTATGGTCAAAGAACGTGTCATGTAATGACAGAGGCTGGAAAATGTTGTGTTTTGTTTTAGAAAGTGGAGAAGTAAGGAAAATGCGACCAACTATAAATTGTTGTTTACTTGATTTAATTTGGAGTTTATCTACACGTTAGATTCTAAGAAAGTGACTTAGATATGAGTCAGCATATAAGAGTGATTTAAAAAAAAAAAAAAAAAACATAAAAATGCTGAAAAGGTTCTACTCGACCATCCTTTCTGACAATTATATAATGAACGAAAGTCCACGTAAGGCATGCAATCACCTTGTATAAACTCTAAATTTATTAATACAATTCAATTAATGTAACGTTTAATTGCAGTCCAATTCAGTTCATCTTAAAGGTTATTGTGCTACTTCTATTAATTTCAATTCATTTTTGTTACTTGCTTGTAGTTGTATATAATAATTTTAATTGAGTTTTCTTATTTACATAATTACATATGTACATATAAAAGTGTACATCAACAGAACATATTGATAAAAAGAAAAAGGCATGAAAGTTTTTTATTTTGTTGTCAAAGCTCTATTTATATTTGATTTTTTTTTTTTTACGGAATATTTGATTTTTTTTGTTACTAATCTCAATATAAGTGAATTCATCCGTAAAATAATCAGAAGTTTTATTATCTAAATATATTTTAACTTCGAGCTTGGTTAGGGGTATTCAAAGCTCATGAAGGAGGTATGGTGTTTGCTTGGGGAGAGTATCAAGGATGTGTTTAGGCTAGGCTAATAACATAAAGAATCAAGAGAGAGAAAGTATTAGAGTGAGATTGATGATGATTGTTGGTGATCAAGCTTGTTGATAATTGAAAACGGAGGAAAACGACCTCTATTTATAGGGAAAATAGAGGGTCGAAGGATTAGAAAAGATCTGAATTCGAATCGGAATAAAACTATTGCGATAGGCAGCAGTTTCTGCGATTTTTGTTTTTATCATAACTTTTGATCCACAAATCGGAATAAGATAAATACTATATCGCTGGAAAGAACTAGAAGTCTACTTTCCAACTCTATTAGAATCAAGTTGATATCTATTTTAGAATTTAAGATATGGACGAAATAGTGGAACAGTGTCAGTTTTTGATATAGTTTGGTATTTCATTCATATCTTTTTCGTTATAGCTCGGATCGAAATTGGGATTATAATATATCATTGGAAAGATAATTTCAAGGGCTATCCAATCATCTAATATTTGGATAAAAATTATGAGGCACGAAAATCGTATCTGAACGTCTTTGAATTCGAATAGAATAAGGATATTCAAAAAGAGGAGTTTTATTCAATTTCAAACTCTTTGATCTTTATCTTTTGGAAAGGATAGATTAGAACCTTATAGAGACTTTTAGAAGTTTCTAATGAATCCTAATTGTTTTAGGATTGGGATTAAGGTATTTGGACCCTCCACATGATCATTGGGTCGTAGGTAAGGTGGACTTATGTCCGGTTTGGGCTTAGTTTAGTATTTTTGGCCATAACATATTCGTTATAAGTCGGATTTGGGCTTATAATATATCGTTGGAAAGCTATTTTTAAGCCCTATCCAACTAAGCAATAATTAGACTAGGATTATGGACCAAAATAATCTGGTTTGAACGTTTTTATAAATTGGACACGAAATGAATGATTTTGGGTTTCAAGATACGAAATAAATAATTTTGAATTAAAATATTTAAGGAAAGGTTAGAAATGGTCTAGGCTTAAGGGAATTCACGAAAATCTTCAACTCTTCACCTAACTCGATAATCAAAGACGTGAAAGGTACTCATCACTGGATTTAGTTTTTGGGGAGAAACAGTCAGGTGTCTACAACAACCTATTTACACCCTCTAAACTAATAATTACGTGAGAGAGAAAGATATATAGAGGGGCGTGAAGAGAGAAAGATAGAGGGACGTGAAAAGAAGAGGAGAAAGAAAAAAGAAGAGGATTGAAGGGGCGTGAGAAAGACAGAGTTCAAAGAAGAAATGAAGAGGAGAGAGAAAGAGAAGAGAAGAGGAGAGGTGAGAGAAAGAGAAGAAAAGAGAATTGGGAAATGAAAGGGTTAGGAGGCGGTATCTGGTATCAGGGTTTGTGGGTTTTACTTTTTTTTTTAATGTTAATTCCATCGGAAATGGTCTTAAAATCCGTTGGAAATTTCCGTCCATCGGAAAATATTACATTTCCTACGGAAATTAAAATTCCGTTGAAAATTTCGTATTTTTTGACAGAATTTCGTGTCCGTCGGAACTTATCCGTCGAAAATTGACTGTTTTCTAGTAGTTAGATCAAGAAACCCGCTCCGGTACCATGTTAAATTTGAGAGTTTAGGGAGGAAGAAAGCAAAAGTAGCCATTGAAATTAGGCTTGAGTGTAGACCGTAGAGAGAGACAAGGAAGGAGTAAATGTGTATTTTATTATGTTGTGTTAAAATTGAAATAATACAATATACAACCTATTTATACTCTCCAAACTAATTACATGATTAACAAACTTAATTTGAGTGAAGGAAGCAACTAATAAACTAAGTCAAAATAAGTTTGACCAAAACATAAACTCCAACATTATGTTCTAATGGACAATTGTCCATTGATTAATGCGGTACTAAACGTTTCTAAAAAAACACTAATGACTATTATGAGCTATAATTAAGTAAAGGTAGCAATTTATTTAAAAAAAATAAAAAGTAAAGGTAGCAATTAATCTACTCAACTCGGGTTCAAATTCGGCCAATTCATTTATGTTGAATCATATTCGTTTAAGTGAGAGTATTTTGGCTCGGGTATGAGTCAACTCAAGTCAAATAACTTTTGGGCTCGCCAATTAATTAGTTTACTATGAGATGGACGGGTTCATTTCTTTTTAGTTGAGTTAGTTTAACCATTTTAAATTTTGAGTTGGACTGAATCATTTTCTTATTTAATTTGAGTTAGTTTCAATCAATCTAATTTATAGTATGTATACGATTAAAAAATATGTTTAGTACTTTGGTTGAGTCCGTTCAATTTTGGTACAATTAGGTCTAGTTATGTGTAGTGATTGGTGAAGATTCGATTCTAAGTTTGCTAAGTGTATAAATTGTTTTTACCAATTGACTGTTGGTGTAGTGGTGATTTGGGCTACACTTGGTAGGAAGGACCGCGTGTTCGATCCCCCGCAACAATAATTGGAAGGAGACTGGAACCTAACCACCCAGAACTGATCCTCGAATTCGAATTAGCCCAAAAGGTGAATCGGGTGAAACACCAAAAGAAAAATTATAAATTGTTTTTGTGATAAGGATACGGTACAGCATTCATGGCTAGCCTAATTATTAACCTTTACAAAACAGTTTGAATTACAACCTTTTTTGCAATGAGTATCATAATATTAATATCAGTCACAACTTTTAATATAGGCGATATTATCCAATCAGATCTCACCATAAAAAATAAAAAAATAAAAAATAAAAAAAAATCTTGCACACTTTTGTTATGTGGCCTTGATGCAATGGCACCAGCTAACCTTGCACATTTTGTCATTTCTAGCATAGAATGAAATAAGTGCGTAGAAGTATCGTGTGTATGTGACTATTGGTTTCGAATCGAGTACACGATACCATTGTGAGATTATTTCATAATCAGAGATAATTTGTAATGTAGAAAGTTGGAAGACATTAGGAAGTTTTCTTTTCATTAATTAAACACAACTCAAAGTAAACTGTACATATAAGGGTATATTTTACCCTCATGAAGAGTGGGGATTAGATCTAATACAAAATAAGTCCCTAAATACATAAACTATGAGGAATGCTCAAACAAAATTAAAATACGTAGTAGTTAAAATATGGAAAATGGACGACTTAATTGTATAATTAGACCCCAAAATCGACAAGATTAGTGACGAAAAGGCTCAAATTAGTGATGATAATTCAAGCTTGGGAACCAGATAACGCCCAATTAGCTTCACTTCCAACTCTAGGCATAGTGGATTTCTTGGAACTGATATCCACCTTAAAGTTAGCTCCACACATCGCCCCTTCACTGTCTATTCTTGGCATTGCCTTCATCTTGTTCTTTGGATGCTCGAAACTCATTAGCCCTACTTCACTATGGTACATACACCCTGCAAAATCATACGTAAATAATGTTACAATCATAGAATTGTAATTTCGAGTGTTCAAGAACACATCGTATACTTGTGTGTAAGAGTCTCAAGAACTAATCACACTAAAATGAAAAATTCGAATAACATCATTTGATCCTAATATCCTATAATTAAATGTCACATTGTTGGTGGAGGTCGCATCAATATTAAAGTTCAGTGGTGACCATTTGACTAGGCCAATTCGATTGTTAGGCATATCATATTTTTATGGTAAACCAAATTTGTAGATCGGGTCTAGTTAAGTCGATCTCATATCATATCATATTCGGTTTGAACCGGCCTAGTGGCCATTACTTAATATAGAAATTTTAGTTATGAACATAAAAGCCAAACTTGAAACTTACCAGATGGAAAAGGTGCAAAAGATTTAGCACAACTTGCTTTAATAACATCCAAATTGTCAGAAATAACCACAGATTCATCAGCAGCAATTCCCCAATAAAGTTTCACTCTTTGATCTGCCCCCTGTTTTTCCAACACATCATCAAACAAATTTTAGCCAAATTTTCATAACATTTATCAAAAGTAATTAATGTAAACAGTTAATTAAGGTATTAATTCATAATTAATTAATTAATTACCAGAGCAGCAAAAACAGTTCCAGCATTTCCATCATAGATAACAAACCCAAAGCAACCTTCAAGATCCTTAAGAACTTGATCAGCCGGGTACGGGCCGCGGTCTCGAAGGGTCCTATAAGCTTCAATGACAAACATTGCTTCATTGGTAGCCTTGCCTAGACCATATTGCTTGATCAACGTGTTCAAGTTGTTCAAATTTCCCAAGAAAATGCAATACATGTTGTCCATGCCACAAAAAATCCTGCTCATCATAAAATAAAATCATATTACTTCTTAATATTAGGTGTAAAAATAATAATACCAAAAATATAACATTCAATCAATATTGGTACAAAATCATTATGTCCCTATTTATTAGTTGTTAGTTTGTCACGTTAAGGGTCAAGTTACACTATCTACGTGACTATTAATTAGTGATCCGCGAACAAGTTATGGTAAAATTAGTATGAGTACCTTTGTTGGTGAAGTTGTGGGCCTTTGGAAGAGGAATAAGCAAGAAAAGCAGAATCACCAAAACCAATAGAAAGAGGGGCATTTTGGGGATAAGATTGTTGAAACATCCTAACAATTTCTTGAGGGTATTTGGGTTTGTTACCCGACCCGGATGGGTGTGAAGCCGGGCTGTTGAGCTCCTTTGGTGGATCCACCAAACCTTTGTTGAATATTGCCAACATTTTCTCTTACCAAATTAAAATGAATGAAAAACTCTCAAACTTCGAAAATTACAAAATATTGGATGATGAATGATTGATGAAGTGTTGTGAATGGATGAATAGAGAGTGTTAAAAGGTTGTGTATTTATAGTAGTGGTGAACAGAGGATAAAAGTAATAAATTAATTATTGATAATACAAAAAGCTCATTTTCTATTGTGGATAAGGTCGTAACCTAAGAGGCTCCTTTTAAAATAAAATAATAAAAAAAAAATTCTTTTTTTTTTCCTTTTTTTGTAAAGAAATAAACTAATAAATTATACGAATAACGTATTAATTTTATTATGTTTTGGAGGTGATACTAGACGTTAAGGTTGTATTTCACAATTTTATTTTTAATAGGTAAATTATTCGTGATTGATTTTATTTTTAATAGGTAAATTATTCGTAATTGAAGGCTATAATATCGTTTGAAATCATATATGATCATTAATGTGTTTATATAAATATCCGTGATGCCATGAGTTAATAAAATATGCGTAAGTTGTAAACGAGTAAAATGGCAGTTTAAAGGGAAAGTGGACAATTCCACCTAGCCAAATGGACTCTCGGAGTGTATTGGGGTTTATGGTAAGCATCTCGACAAGTTTTCTTTCTGTATCCAAAAAAGTAGAAAATTGTTCAAAACTAAAGAAATTAAACTCTAATATGTTTACCTTACAATTGTATACTATGTAATTTGTGTATCATTATCCGATTTCATAAAACATAAATTCATTACATAAATAGATAAGTTTATATATATAGATTTTTTTATTTTTTTTAATTGAGCGTCACTAATCACATTGATAGATAAAATTAGGATATCATGTAATTGAGAATATCTACTTTTATTTTTTTTAGCAATATGTACTAAACATTAATGTCATAGATTACTACTTGTACTTTTATTTTTTTGGGATTTGATAAGTCAGATTTTCTGATTGTCAAATAAAATAAATCGGGTTTCCTTTTACAAAAAAATATTCAATATACATTCGCTAAAAGTACATGTAGTAATCCAAACTTATAAATTCTTATCTTGAACGTAAAATATACTCCATAGGACTGTGCATCGGTCTAAAATTGGACCAGACTAGAACTGGAACCGGAATCGGAATAAGAATGGGTTAGCTGGGTCAATGTGCTCATGTTTCTCACGTGATGATGATATGGAGAATATTAGATATAGGCTGTTTGTATATTAGCGGCGAGATGTAGGCGACTGACATAGATAATTGTACTTGTAAAGCAGATCCAGGTGTACGATAGTGGTTGAAGAATATGACATTGATCTGAGTCAGCCTATCCACTTTGTACATATCACTCAATTCTGGATAAGGCTGACCCCACACTTTTCTCACTTTTCAAACTTATCTGACGTGCCACCACGTTTGGTCTACTGTAACCCTCTTCAACGCATCATGTCTAACTTTTTTTTGTTTTTTGGTGAAAGAAACCAGGAGGATGAGATTATACTAGCTTCATTTTACTTTCTCCGTTTCATAATGATGCATTGATGCTATTGTTTAGAATTTTTTGTGTAAATTAAGATAAAGGAAATAATCGGTCTGAATCGAATAATAACATTTAGACCATTTAATTATTATGGGACCATCCTTTTTTTGGAAAAAAAAAATTACATTGAAACCACTTATTAGTTTGAAATAAATCACATTGAGACTTTTTTTTTTTGGATTGGGACCATTAAAATGAGGGTATTATGGGAAAATAATGAAAATATTTGAGGAATTAAAATGAAAAGTAGGAACATCATTTTGAAACACCCGAAATGAAAAACATGAACATCATTGTGGAACGGAGGTCGGAGGGAGTATATTATTTGCAATGATTAAACATTTTTTATTACTCCCTCCGTTTCAAGATAATTGCAACATTTTTCTTTTACATCCGCTTATAATAATTGCAACACTTCCTTATTTAGTAAGTACCCAAAACTATTTTATTATTTCTCTCCCCTACCAACCCCACTTATACTACTTTTTATTATTTCTCTCTCCTACTAACAATTATATATATTCCCACTAACTATACTCCCTCCGTCCCTTATTTACATGCCTACTTTCCATTTTACACGGGAATTAAGGAACTTAAAAGCCATGATTGGGAAAGTACAAATATGCATGTAGAGTTAGAGAAAGATAGAGATAAAGAAAAAGGTAGTTGGTAATTATTGAAGAGATAGAGAGAGAAAGTGTTGGAAAATAATGTCAAAAGTAAAATAAAAAAAAAATAAAAAAATTGACAACTCATAAAAAAGAGGGAATATTGTCAAAAAGTACATTTTTAAAATATAAATAGGCATGTAATAATATAAAGGAAAAATTGCTTTAAATAATACCACCTTTCATCCGTCCGCTAAAAACAAGTCCACCTTTTGTTTATTTCAGAATAATACGACCTTTGGGGGGGTGTCCGCTTTAAACAAGTTATGACTGGTTATTAATTTGATTAACAGGTTATATGGACACGTGTCATTGTTTGATTGGTTTGAAAATTTTATTTGTTTTTAAATTTTTTTTTAATGTTTTTAATTTTTAAAAGATTATTAATTTTTTTTTTAAAAAAAGAAAAGGAAATAACTAACCCCAACCCAACCCCCACCTCCCCTCAGGCAGTCCCCTCTCCCCACCTCCCACTACCAAAACCTCCCTCCCTGCAACAGCCCCCGGGCCCCAGCGACCCACCTTCACCGCCGGCACCCCCTCCCTTTCCCCCTTATATCCCGTCGCGACCACCCATCGCCACCCCAACCAAACCCAAACCCCATAACCACCACTCCCATCGCCACCCAGACCCGAAACCACCACTCCCACCTCCACCTTGACCCGAAACCACCACCCCCACCCAACCAGACCCTCATCCTATCCTAAAAAACCCCACCTTCGAAAACCAAACAATCCCCAATTATTTGTTCTTCATCTTCATCATCAAAATTTGAGGTTGCAAATTGGAAATTTTGGGAATGGGAAATAGGAAAGGATGGCATGCAAAAGACAATAAGACATTGGAGAAGAGAGAATTGAGTGGTGAGGGTGGTTGCTGTTTAGGTTGGGGTTAGGGTTTCGGGTTTGGGTGGGTGAGGGTGGTTTCGGTTGAGGGAGGGAATAGGGGGCCAGAAACCTGGCGAGGGAATGGGAGGGGATGGGATCGACGCCGGTGCCGTGGGAGGGGAGATCGAGGCGCGGCCGGCGCCGAGGGGTGGGTTGACAGGTTGCCGGGGAAGGGGAAGGTCGTCGGGGAAGGGGAAAGGGTGGCTAGTGGAGGTGGATTTTTTTTTTTTTTTTAGATTTTAATTATTAATTAACCATAATTAAAGTTTTAATTAAGAGTTAATTAGATTATTAAACGAATTTATTGAAAATTTTAACCGGTTATTAAGGTTGTAGGTAAGATAACTTGTTTAAAGCGGACACCCCCAAAGATTGTATTATTCTGAAATAAACAAAAGGTGGACTTGTTTTTAGCGGATGGGTGAAAAGTGGTATTATTTAAAGCAATTTTTCCTAATATAAATAGGCATGTAATGTTGAAACCCCCAAAAAGGAAAGTAGGCATGTAAATAAGGGACGAGAGAGTACTTTATATTACTCCGTATAAAATTTTCCTTTTGGTCCCCACCCTATAAATTTTCCTAAAACTTTGTGCAACACCTAGTGTTGCGATTAGTATGAAACGGAAGGAGTAATACTTTATGTCAAATCGCTGTAAATAAAATGAAACGGAGCTAATGTTAATTATTCCTTCTGTTATACTTTTGACTTTTGTATTATTTCGTTATTTGTATACTCCCTTCGTTTCATGATAATCGCAATATTTACTAAAAACTGATGTTACATATTATTATAATTTACAACAAATGTTTTATTTCCTTTTTAACTTGATATTTCTCTATATTTTTATCCTCATCACATACATCTACATTATATCTATCTTATTTGACACTCAAACAAATTTTGCCTAAAATTTCGTGTCAAGGCCTTTGTTCCACATAATATGAAATGAAAGTAGTAGTTCATTACTTGACCTTTCAGTGAAAAATAATAGGGCAATTGTCATTAGACTACTAGAGACAAGCTTAATGTCTCTTGAATACAGTAATAATGTAATGGTCGCATTTTGCCCTTTTAAACTACGTAGTAATTCGTTTACAAGAACTTTTTTCTCTATTTTTTTCATATAGGATTGTGAAAGGGGTTACCTAAGGAAAGGAATAAACTAGTTTCATATCATATTACGGCGTATAAAGTTAAAGAGTAAACTTTTGGTATACACTATACAAAACCGTACTTCTAAGAAAACATTCTTTAAGAACAACTCCAATTAATTTTACGAATGCACACCTAAGGGACTTTAATCCCCTAAAAAAACATGTTATCCGTACCATAAAATACCTATAAACCTTCTAAAGTTGTACTCCGTAAGTACTACTATTAAAATTAATTCAAAAGCACCCCAAAAAGAGAACAATACACATACCTCTATTAAGTTCACAGTAAGCCAAAATTTATGTTACGTTGTCTATACTCGAGCACATACAGTTCCAGAAAACATACAAATATTAGTGTAACACCCTTTTGACACAATACAATAAGTAACAAGGAAGATTTCCTTTTAAGATATCATACAAGATACTACACTAACAGGAATAAAAACTGCATTCTGCAATAAGCAGGTCATGTAGCTGATATATATGTAGTACAAGTGTCGATCATGGACTACTAAGAGCGGGAACATATGCCGTTGAAAGCCTTAAAGGTGAAAATGAAAATAGAAGTAATGCACCTATACATCTATTTTACATGCCATCACCAAAACCTTTCACCCGCTGTAATCAGCACTGTAGAATTTGTCTTCGGGGTAGTAATCAGCAGTGACAGTGTTACCACCAAATTTTCGTCCACCAAGCATGTTCTTTGCATTTGAACAGGCAACAGTATCAGCATACTCCAAGAACACCTGCAAAGAAGATATTTGAGATGTTGCACTTCAGCAACATATATAACACAGCCACAATGCTAGAGAGGAAAAACAGTTATTGAAAAAAATCAAGCCGTGAAGCAAAAGGCCAAAAAACTCATGCTGACAACGATGAACAATTTGAATTGAATGTTCATTTCTAACTACAATAATTGGAGAGTTTATTTGAAAGAAGCCAATTGTTGTGATTAGTGGTGTTAACGAACCAAGCCTGCTCGCAAGCTACTCGATGCTCGGCTCGGTCAAAGCTCGAATCGAGCGGGCTCGGTCTCGGCTAGGCTTATTAGCACCCTTAATTATGAATTTATAATAATGTCACTAACTCACTATTCTGCTGATTACCAAATTGAAAAAAAAAAAGGGAAGCGCGCACACACACACACACACACACACACACACACAAAACAATAGAGAGATTAATATGAAATTCAATGATAAAGAAACCATCATTACCTTCCCAACACCAGGAATCAGTTTCCCCTCCATATCAGGTCGAGGAATAATAATATTTGTCAGGCCTCCTAAGCAAAGTAATAATCATGCTAGTTAGTTTCAGCCCAAGGTGAAATATATGAAAAAACAAGAAAAAGTGCTGCTTGAAAAAATCAGTAAAAGCACAGAAATTTTAAACAGGATTGTCCCAACATTCTACCATAAAAAAGAGAAATACAATCATAGCACTCACCAAATTTAGCACATTCATCTCTCATATCTTCCAATATTTCATCATACTCATTATCATCTCTAAGTTCATCAATAGTTACCACCTGACCAAGGCAATAAAAAATTAAGGCCATTGAAGCGTTAAAATATAGAAAACAGATAAGTTTAATGATCATAGATACCTGATTCAAGCAAAGGATTTTGGTAGGATTTTCTGTGGTTGCCGAAGTTGGTAATGTGCCTCCAAGAAGATTGAAACCACTAGCTTCTATAACCATTTTCTGTTTGTATAATTATGCTAAGAGATTACAAACCACTCACAAACAAAAAACTAAAGATTAGAAACCTTAGATGGGTAAGATTACTTCACCTGCATGGCTACATGCTGGTGCGCATGCGCCAAGAGATTTTCATGCTCTAATTTTGCCTGCCCAGTGCTGCATAGTCGTACATGATGAGATATAAAGCATGTACATAGAACCAAAGGCTAGTCTGGAAACTGCAAAAGTGCATACAATAACAATTTCTATTTCTAAGCATTTCATTGTGCACTCTGATAGTCTAGGACATCAAGTAACATCTATAGCCCTATGACTTGGAAATTTAGAGCAATATATATACAGATATAATATTGATTAGCTTAGACAGGCTTTTTTTTAAAAATAAATAAATAAAATAAAATAAAAAACCAAAAAGCAACAAGTTCAGCATCAAATTAAATGCTAACATCGATATTCAAGTTGTTCATAGATAGTAACAATAAATTGATTTGATAGATAAGCATAATTTCTCAAACAGGAAAGCAACAGACTTGATGCACAGTGCTAAAAAAACAGCAACAGCAATTTGACAAGGTTGGGTGGATGCGGATTAATAAAAATTAGGCCCACACCAACTTGTACGGAGTAATTGTATACACGAACTACTCCCTCAACAACAACAACAACAACAACAACAACAACAACAACAGCAACAAAGCCCTAGTCAAAATGATTGGTCGGCTAACATGAATATAGAAACTCATTTCATGGCCCAACCTTCATTTTATTGAACTTTGTGCCCAACCTGGCGAAGAGAGTAGTTAAATACAAAACAAGCATCATACATACATTAACTGTGAGAAATTGAGTTTTTGCTTTTGACATTAGCAGATCTAATTTACTTCCTCCGTTCTATTGATATTGCAGCATGAGGGGGAATTACGTTTCCCAAAGCAAAATTTAAACCTTAAGTTTCTTCAATTATTTAATGGTAAAAATACATTGTGAAAGTATATAGTTAATTTGTGATGAACCTGCCTAAGGCCACTGTGAGGCTGACATATGCAAGGTGTAAGAATAAGGGCAAATAACGGAAGCTCAGTATTTCTGTAAAATGAGCTGGCGATAAGTCAAAAAATAAGCGAAGATTTGACAGAGAATATTTAGGAGTATAATCAGGGATTTGCTGCACTGCTGCAGTGTAAAGACTGTAAACAAAAGGAAAATAGTTTGGATTCATTCAGCAAGAGTTATCTGGTTGCTTGGGAGATAATTGAGCCTCTCGAGTGCTTAATAACTTGTTACAATCTATCAACCTATCAAAAAGTTACATTTCTCTTTCCTGAATCTGCTTGTCACAATTTGTGGTTAAAAAGAGTATGAATATCACCAAAAGTACGAACATTGAAAACTTAAAAGAGGAGGAGATATTCTGTGATAGAATTATCTTATTTTTTGCCCCAAATGTGTTTCAGAAACATTTACTACTAAAGTATGATTACAAATATGAGATAGGATGGGTGGACTTTTTTAAATATAAAAATTAAAAAAAAAATGTAGCAAAAAGTAAAGCGTATAAGGAACAAAGAACAAGCCAGGTTTGAACCATAAACCAAAAAGGTCAAACATAATAAACATAAAAACAAAGTTAGAAAGGCAACTAATTGAAGTTTAAGTATGCAAGCTGACAAAATGAAGTTTCTCCCAGTGAAGAAATGGAACATCAAACACCCAAGGTTCTAATAGTTCATTAGCTCAACATACCTGACAGCAGCCCTTCTTACAGTTAAGGTTTTATCACCCATTTTCAAGCCATTAAGGGCATCACAGGCAATATCAGTCACAGCCGAATCCTGTGATATATAAGCACACAACATTTAGTAGAAAGTTACATGGAAAATCATCCAATCTGAAGTTAAAATTTTCAAAAAAAATTAACACAGCCTTAGTCCTCAAATAATTTGGGATTGGCTAACATGAACTATCATAGGGAATCGTCCGCAAATAATGAAAACAAAGAAAGAAGCTATAAAATAAAAGTGGACGAAAAATCTAGAAAAAACATAGTGAGCAAAAAACAAGGGCAGTGTTAAGTGAAAACCCAAAAGAATATGTAAAAATAATCTTTGAGGAAGTTAATGAAAGAAAAGTAAGGGGATGATAAAAGAGAGGACAAACAAGCAAGTAAAGAAAGTTTGAGAAAACCTAAAGAAGCAAGTTTATCTAAACCTAAATCTCAGACACCTATAGGACGAGGCGGTAAACTAACCTGATAAACACAAAACCCATAGCCTTTGGAATTTCCTGTGTCTCTATCCTTCACAAGGTCAAATGCTTTCAGAGGTCTACAATAAACAAATAGAAGATGTAAATATGGATAGTTATATCACTCGCAATATAGAATGGCAAATGTGGTAATAGTAGTTAAGAGACAATGTAAATATTATTACAAAAAACTAAGTACATCCACAAGCAGTTGAATCAACAGTTACATACCCAAATGATTGCAACAACTCTCGCATCTGATCTTCATTAAAATAGTAAGGTATTCCACCAACAAAGATACGGTCAGGTCCTTCTGTCCCAGCTACAGCACTAACAAACAAATAACAGCCATTGAGCACAAAACAATACCCAGTTCCACAAGATTTTTATAAGAGAAGAACAAGCAGAAAGATATCAGTGAAAAAACCCAATGAATATTATAGAACTTGATTGCCCTTACACTGTTGGCTCGTCATGGCCCTAAAGATGCCCAGATATAGGCAGCACTGACCGTGCAAAAATAGAGAAGTTTCTAATCCTCCCCCCAACCCAGCTCTAATCCAGTAGTCAACACTGTCTGCTATGTTGCAATAGATAAAATTTGATGAGGCATTATAGTCTAGTTCAATATAACCGAAAGTGACTCTTGAAAAGAGGCACAAATTTCACCATATAATCCAGTACTTATACTTCCAACAAAAGGATGGAACTACAAGGAAAATATCATAAGATTAACAAACAATCTTCTCCAGTAACAGGTTCATTAATTATGATTCACACATTTTATGGGAGGTCTGCAAGCTATAGCACACTGGGAGGAGGGAACAGAGTACGTGAGTAGCTAGTAATGGACAGATGGACAAAGTGACAGGTGGACATTCCTGAAATAACAGTGCTCCTTAGCTAGAAAAAGTAAAGACAAGCAGATAAACTATTACAGGATCAAGATAATGACGACTACGTCCTAAGAATGTTATACATAACATTTTCATGTTCTCAAATGTGCTTTTGAAATAAAGTAATATCTTGACTCAATATTAATTATTAGTTGACTATAATGTGCGCAGAAATAAAATTATAAAGGCAAGGCAGCAGAAGCTAGTTATTTAAAAAATCCTTTATCCCCAAACAAGTGTCATGCTCCATGATTACGATTTTAAATGAAACCTTTTTGCACCTTTTTCTTTAATATAAACCCATTCACCCACTCATCTTTAAGCAAGTAGACTTGGTCATATAACATATATTCCACTAATACTTCCTCCACCCTATATGTGTTGCAACATAGGGTAGAACCACCAGACGCACGTGATTATGTAAAAGGAAAAGAGAACGAGCTAACATGTGGAAGTAGTAAGGGCAAGAAAGTCATTTTAGCTCAAAACTGTCCAAAATTAGAGATACAACTGAGAAATATGTTGCAATAAAAAGACCAAAGGAAGTAACACTTTCAGAGAGATGGAAGAAGCATGTTGCTTTTGTTGATGTTGTTCTAAACATTATATCTTAAAATGCACAAAATAGTACTCGGTACCCAACTCTTTTATAACGGTGTCTATCACAAACTGTTACTTTCCAGTACATGAGAGATAGTTGGCAAAACAAACCATAACCCACGAAGCAATGTGAAAACTCCCATATATTTAGCCTTCTACTTTTAAGATTTAATCTCAACCGTTTAAGATTTTGTCTAATTTGTTGATCTTGAACTTAGTTTGAAAAGTAGATGCTAGCACTTTTGGATCCTATTTGTTTCTTACCCTAGTTCATAAATTCTTTTTGCACTGGTATCCAAAGATAAGTATTCCCAAATACGAAGATTCTATAATGGTTTTCTAAAAAAGACAATCATCATATTATTTTAATCTTAGCCTTCTACTTTTAAGATTTAATCTCAACCGTTTAAAATTCATTTTTTTCTTAGTTTGAAAATTAAATAAAAAATTCATCTTTATTATAAAAACCCTTTTTTCTTGGACATGTTTGGCAAAGCTATACTTGCATGTGTATTTGGTATTTAACCACAAATACTACAATTTTAAACAACTGTATTTTGGTATTGGATACTTTAAAATTATGTACTTGGTATTTATCAATATCAAATACAATTTTTACTACTATGTATAATAGTAAAGTTATAATACCAAAATCATATAGTAATTACCCGATAATTTAATACTATGTATAATAATAAAGTATATCAAGAAATATAAGAACTAAATTTTTTAAATACACATACCAAATACATATGCAAATATTAGATTTTAATATAAAAAAATTGAATTTTAATTTAATTTTAGATATTTAAGAAAAAAAAATTTTAAACGGTTGAGATTAAATATGAAAAATAGACAGCTAAGACTAAAACATTATGATGGTTGTCTTTTTAAGAAAACCATCATACTATCATAGAATCCTTCTCCCTCATATCCCCATCATCTGCAGTATGGCAGAAAGCTATACAGTAGTTCTAACACTCTCTATGAAAATATAAATACCAGATCCTCTAATTCAACTTTTAATCAAATCAAAACCAAACAGACAGAACAACATTTCTTCACTTTTGAACTAAATCTAAATATTGCCATTAGGAAACAATAAATACCATGTTTTTAGGAAACAAAACAACAGAATTATCATCAATTTTATTCAATCTAAGAACTAAGGTATCGAGTTTTATCCACATCAAATTTCAGCTTCCTCAATTTCCAACATATAAAAGTAATTAATAAGAAAGTATCCTGCATTTCATAAGAATCAGCTGTATTCTTCTACTTTGGTAAGCAAGATTTAGATGTCATGCATGATGAATCACATCATCATATCCGTACTATTCTGTATCAAACATCACAAGAATAAAACTCACCCTGGCACAAGGCCAACAGCAGCCAGATTTAAATGGGGACTTGGTAAGCTTGGACCAAGGGCTGCAGCTAATGCTGGATTATAATCGGTGGGTCTCTTCACTCTCACAGAAACCCCCTAAGATGACAAATCAGACATATAAGCCAGGTGTAAATAATATGGAGTCAGCATCTCTACTCTGCCAACATTGATCAAACAAACAACTGCATCAAAAATCTGGAGAAACAGGCAACGAAGACTTGATCATGTGAGCCTGGCTCCACTAGATAAGCAAAAATAACCTTTCTAAGCTTATTCAAGCCATGTAAAAGCATTTATTAGATCCTTGCATTTCTAATTTTATTAAGAAAATGGAAGGATGTCTTAGCCTACAGATGCAAAACGCAGCAGCATTCTGACTAAAAGCATCAATGCAGCATAGAAATTTAATCATTCACAACATACCACTGTAAAGCTTTTAATAAAAAATAGAGCAATGCTGTTATATAAAATATTAAAGAAGCTCAAAAAGGCTGCCATAATTATCATTCTTGATAAAAATTTCTCCTGCATTATATAACAGAAAGGAATATGCCAGCAACTTAAAAGAGCAGGACAAGCTACCCAAGCAAAAATACACTTTTCCAATATATGATCATTGATTAAAACTTCTGTGCTCCTTAACATGACTAGGAAACTTGGAAAATCGTGGCAAGATCACCAATGACCCTTCACAATTGGGCATCATCAACCACACTCGACCATTAAGGAGCATGTAATAAAAGAGGTGTTGTGGTAGTAGAAATGAACATGGGAATGCTATTCGCTACATTATTAATTCAAACCAGTCCAGTGGATTAAACCTTGTAACACATGCTTTTGCACACTAATGTGGTTTTCAGAATGACCAAATCCTGAAGAAAGATAGAATAAGAGATGGGAGAACAAATCGAAGCAAGGAAAGTTCATACCTCAAATGAAATGCCATCCAATGCCATTGCATTGGAGGCTTCTTCAACAGATCTCATTTCTACAAAAGCAAACTTTTTTTCATGATTGATATACACATTGACAACTGCATCTCCTGTAATCACAAAAACATGTTGCACAAGTTGGAACTTACAAAAATTTCTTCAAAATCAAGAATGACATAACCCTCCATGTAATCATACAAAAATCATGAAATAATAAAATATTATCAATCAATCCAACTGACCAGGACCAGCAGCATTTCCACCAATTGCAGTCATAACCTGGCTGAAGAAGGTTGCAATTGTCTGCATAAATCAAGAGGATTTTTTTTAATAATGGGTTAAACAATGATAAAGCAGCACAGGAAAAGACAAGGAAACAGACATCAATCACACTTGGCTGCAGTTGCTCATTAATAAATAGCTTGGGGCAGGATAGCTTCAAAAGAGTATTTTTACTACTAAATGACAACTTCCAATAACAAACGAAAGTAAGTGACTGGTCAAAAAGCTACCAAAACATACAAAGGCTGAGGAAGTGTTTTTCCCAATTGTCAAGCACAAGATGATCTGGTTTCATATAATTAAAAGCAGAAAGCTAAACAAAAACAAGCATACCCAAATTGAATATCCTAAAAGACTCAAGTACTCTAACGGCCCGTTTTGGTAGGCAATAATAGTAATGAATTTATATGTGCTTCTGAAGTAAACTCCCATGTCAATGATAATGCAACTCCATCACAAACATGTGTTTTTTCATTCACATTATCACCTCTAAGGCCTTGTTCTTGTTGCCCTTGGCACGAGGCACACTTTGGTGCCTCTTTCGAGTGAGGCGTACTGTATAAAAATTTAAAAGCTTTGACTGTAGTGCTCCACACCTAGAGCAAAAAAAAGCACTCTACCCTAATTGCCTAGCGCCTAGGCATGCTTTTTTGTACACTGGGTTAAACTTATTTCGATTTGTTTTCGGACAGAAATGGTTCAAAAATGTTCCAAGTTCAGAAAATTATGGATATCTTCAGACAAAATAACTTTTGATAAGTTCGGACAAAAAAAAAAAAGTGTATTTCAGACAATTATATGCACAAAAATTGAAAATTTAGACAAAATAAGCTTACTTCCAGATAATTAAGTTCATATATGATAAGTTCTAAAACGTTAAAATAAGCTTAGATAAGTTAAAGTAAGTTAGATTGGAAGTGAGTAGAAGAGGAGTTTATAGCTCAAAATAGACATGTGAAAACTTTTTGATACTGCTTTAATATGAAAGTGTGAATACCATTGAGGAACGGAGGGAAGCGAAGAGCATCAGTAAACAACATGATTTTGAAAAGACAACAAAGGATTTGCTGCTCTTCATGAAATTCAGCATGTAAGCAATAAATAGTACAACATCAGAGTACAACCTGCTCATTAGCTGAAGGAGGAAGTCCACCAACATAGACTCGGCGAGCATGCCTGGTAGCCTATGAAGTAGAAAGAAATGAGGGGAAAAAAAGGGACAGAATACCAACTAAAATCATGGTTATGATTGAAGGAAATGGTATACATAGATAAGTGGTAACTTATTTACCTGTTGAGTCATAAATTGTGCTGGCATCAAAGGGAGAGATCCCAACTAACAAACAGGTAAAAATTCCAAACAAAAATAAAAAACACAAATCAAATTCTTGGATGATCAAGGAAAATCTATCAAGAAAATGGATAAAAGAAAGGTACATGCACACCTGAGCTGACCCTCCAGTAAACATACTCTGTGATAACCCTGACATTGGCTGAGGCATACCAGGTAGTTGATCTACAAAATCAGGTATAAGGGAAATCAAACTCAACTTATGTGATCCCGCTGTCTCAGAAAGCATGTGCAAGATGTCATTAATGTTAATTGAAATATCTGATAATTTATATATTCCTAACATTTAAATCATCAATGATGATAACCTATTTCATACCTAAGAACAAGATCATTGCACAATAAATAAGAGATAAATTCCATCATGGAAGAAGCTGATGTTTTTTCGTAAGCTACCAAGGGACAAGAGTTGTCAGTTGACGGCGGACAGGTTCTCGCTAAGCCTTGCAAGAAGTGTTTCCCGTTGAACACAATAGCTACAGTGCTCATGTCCATGAGTAGCACAGTTGGACAGGTAAACCACATTGTCTTCCTTACTCACACGATAAGCATAACAAACAAACTAGAAACCACACACACAGCCAACAACACAGCAACAATTTTCAGTTTCTATGGATAATGATACATGTATACAAAGCAACATAATAAATCAAGATGTTTACATTCTCCAACTTCAGATCTTGACCAATAACTTCAGAAGAAAGCTTAGCCATATATTATACAGACAGATTAAAGCAAACCTTGAAACCCTTGTCCTGGAGCACCGGACGTTAAGTTGCTTGTAGGTGGTGCCATGTCAAAGCCACTTGTACGCTTGCTACACACATGTAAAAAACATGTTAAAGCCAAAACATAATCCAAGGAAACAGCCCAAGGGGAAAGGACTGCCAATCAAAACTCCCAAGCCTTAAACAATCAGCACCTCTATCATAGGCATCGAGTAGCAAATTTTTTTACCAAATAAATCTGCAGTCACATACAATTCAGATTGCAAAAACTAATTTCTGGATCCCTAGATTAGTTTAGATGTGCAAATTAAAATTCAAGAACTAAGTCAGCTAACTTGAACTTGCCCAATAGCAGAATCCCACTCCAACCCCCAACCTACAAAGAACTCTTACTTTCTGAACCACATTAGTTCTCTTAGCTTAAAAGGACTCTTAGTCAAATGCTCACAACCGATTGTCAATTCATAAACATTCACATGTCTTAGCACAGTACGTTACAGGTTGGAACCTCCATCAATAATCAAGGCCTAGATCTTTAAAAGTAGCTAGTAGCCAAATGATTACAAGGCCAATTAAGCAAGCAAATGTACCAACACATGATGTTAGCACATGATCTTCACCTCTCCCACAAGGATTCCTAGGAACATTACACTAGAAACTTTGAAGCACAAACCTGCAACTGAGAAAACAATTAATTTGTATTCTCAAAGACTCAAACTGGAAATCATCTTTATAACTTCAACAAACAGCCTCATATCACCTATCCTCAATTTATCAGTTCTCTTTGGGGCTCAATATGCATGCACTTAACTACGCAGGATGATATATTTCTACTCTTTGCAGGTTGCACTATTGCTGGCAGTAAATACTCATAGCTATTCCAATAATAAATCATGGTTACAACCTCCTAGTACCAAAAGACTAAGTCCAACTAAACTAACACACAGTACGCCAATTAGAAACATATCTGTGACCAGAACCTATAATGCAACAATCATAACTAAAATCAATCAAAGCCTTAATCTCATAAGTGGGGTCAGCTACATGAATCTAACATGATTATTCCGTGTAGTGCTCACGACCTCCATTTTTCAAGTGGATGCCAGGCACCTAAAGTGCTGCGGATACTTTCAGATTTCAAATTTAATTTAACATGTAAACCAAGCAACATCAACAAATAAAAATATCGACCCTTATAGATAAAGAACAAAGTCAAACAAGTCCATACAATTACGAAATTGCAGTATTCCACAATAAACCATACATACCTCTTTGAATGAGATGGTGAGCGAGAACGTGATCTACCTCTATGCCTCTTTTCTCTATCATATGACCTATTAAGTCCAGCAATATCAAATGAAGTGTCAAAACACTACAGGGCATACACTCAGGGACATGGCCTGTCACTATTCAATACAATGAACAAGCAGTACAAATGCGAAAAATACAAAACCAACAACACCAATCAGTTGTAAAAATTACATAAAAAGGTTAAAAATGTGTTCACCTGTCATAGTCACGAGACTCACGACCTCCATAATCTCTTCTTCTTTCATCCCTGCTACTTCTATCTCTATAATCCCTACGATGATCATCACGATCACTTCTTCTATCCCGTTCTCGGTGATGATCCCGATCTCTTGTCCTCGGCATCTCATGGTCTAACTCCCGCGACTTATGCTGAGGCATAAAAATGAGTCAGTGACTTAAGTACGTTGTAGCAATTTGTACAACATTCACCTACTACAAGTTCCAATATAATTCAACAATATCACTGTATTTTCGACTAAAAATTGTTTCGCATAAACACACTCTTCGTCACTCAAAGCTTGGCCTCCAAAATATAAAACACACACTAACAACAAATATACATTACATTGAAAAAGCACAAAAATAAATAAACTGGTAAAACGCCATGACATTCTTGGATCAACTTCACACTAGAAATGTGAATGCGAGCTGGTTTAATTGGTCAAAGTCTTGGGAGGTGATATGCAAAGTGATTGAATCTATTCTATATTAGTGCGACTCTCTCAACACTAAAGCACCCTAACATATATCAAAACCGAATCGAAAAAATCAAATTAAATCAAGTTAGATTTACATGGGAAAAAAAAATGCAGCAATCAAAGCTGAAAAGAGGAAACAAATTTCATTGCAAAAACAATAAGCATTCTCTCGATGAAAATTGAAACAAAAAATTAAAAATTGAAGATATTTTGAGACGAGCTAGAAATGGACCTTAACACGAGAGCTTCGATCATCAGAACCTCTTCGAGGTGAAGACTTTGCATGATCACTACTCATACTTTCCGATAGATTATTGTAATCAGTCATCCAAATTCAATTTTAGAAATTTGCGGAAAACCCTAACCCTAATGCAATTTGTGAACTGTTTAAAAATGGAAATTTTGGCTTTAACGTTTATGTTAGCGAAAAAAGGTACTGGTTTAGGTTTAGGACCTTTAGGTAATTAGGCAATAGGAACCACGGAAACATTGTATTGTATATTATTGGCCTAATGGTAAGGAAAGAATTTTATGAGAGGAAATACAAATTGATTTTTTTTATCAACAAAGTTTGTTAATCTGGTCGAATAGTAAATAAAAGCAATAATTGGCTATTGAATATGAGAAAATATCCGGCTGTTTGGTAGGAGAGGTTGTTATATACGCCCGAGTGTACCAACATCTATGAGTATTTGTTCTAATTTGATGATTGTTTATCATTTTATGATCAAATGAAGAGTAAAAACTAAAGTTACATTAGTTGAGTGTACGGTACACCTGGATATATATAACAAATTCTAGTTTGGTAGAAGGAATAGAAGGTAGGGTCAAGGATTTATTATCTCTCCTCACTTTTGTCCCATGTTTGTTTACAAGGAATTGAATTTTTTAGTGGGATGGGATAGGGATTAAATGGCTTCTTATCCCTTGAATCTTGTAACTGGGGGCAGGTATAAAGAATGGGGATTAATTCTTCTTGTATCTAGTTACTATTCTACCCATCATCTTCAACCTTAGACAACTCCATCAAGCAGCGCCACCACGCAGAGCAACAACCACCACCACCACAACAGTGGTTAACAGAGGCAACAACTCACGACTCCCACAACTCACGGAGACAACTACTCAGCGTCAAAGAGGGAAGAAAAGAAAGACAGAGAATAATGGGGTTTTAATTTGGTATATTCAAACAAAAAAAAAAACTACAAACGATGATAATTAGATGATGGATATTAATTTGTTAGCAATTTATGAAATTAAAATGAGAAAATGATGAGAGACTCAGGGGGAAGAGCGAAGAAACTGCTAAAAAAATGGAGGTTTAGAGTCTTTTGGAGAGAGAGAATGGTGTGGGTTGGGGTTGGTTGATGATGATTAAAAGGGTAATACAGTAAATATGTTGTTTTTCTATATCAATTCCCTTCCTTTATCCTCTTTTTATATCCTATCAAGTATCAACCAAACAAGGGATAGAGATAAAATAAATTTAATCCCACTTATTTAGTCCCTACCTTTATCCTTCCATTTATCCCTCTTTATCCTATCCCTCAACAACTTTTATTAAAAATGACCCATACTAGTTGAATTATTTACAAATATGTCATGATGACTTGGCAGAATTGTTGATTTATTTACAGTTCTTCCATTTGATAAAAGAATTTTGATTATCAAGGAGATAAACTGAGGCTTTGTCAATTGAATATTGACAACTCATCAAATTGCAAGTTCTTTCCCTTTCTTTCCCGATGATAACAAGCTTCCCTCTTCCTCTCTAATGAAACCCAACAGTCGCCACCACATTCCTCCAACTTCACGCCAGTGAAGCACCATTTCTAGGGTTGTTCAAAGTGCGGTCTGGACCGCACCAAACTGCAATTTTGCGGTTTGAAAATTGCGGTGCGGTTTTCGAAAATGACCAAACCACACTTTTGCGATTTGGTGCGGTTTCCAAAACAATTTACACCAAACCGCACTTTGATGCGGTTTGCGGTTTAGATTGTCAAACCGCAAACCGTTATACCAATTTTATACTAATTCTATTAAAAAATATATAAAATAGCTTTAAAATATGATGTAATTTTTTACTATTAGCTAATTAAAAGTTAACAAAAGAGTTTAATATTTAAATTATAAATTAATAATCACAAAATAACATAAAAAGTCTTTTTTTAAAAAAATATTTATAATTTTAAATAAAATGTGGCTAAACCGCAACGCACCAAACCACATTTTGTGGTGCCGTTTGGTTATAATTGCAGTTTGAAAAAAATGCAAACCGCACCGTGAACACCCCTAACCATTTCCTCTCATGTCCCCCTTTCTACTTTGAAACCAAATCACCACCACTAGGCCCACCAACGATCTTCCCGTGTGCTCGCCGAAATCCATTATCGCCATCACCACCATCTCTCCGTCAACTTGCCAATCAACCGTGAGCACATCCTAAAATGGCGCTTCGCGACATGGATGACATGGTCACCCTACCTTGGGTTGACCATGCCTTGTATTTCTCCTTTTTCACAGGGTTATTGTTTTATTGTCGATGGAAGGTGGGTGGAGATCGAGGAAGAAAGAAGGAGGAAGGTTCAATAGTGTCCAACTCAGCACAGTATTCTAGCAACGCATCAAATGTGAACACCACAGATCTGATGTGTATGGCCCCATTGTGCCTTTAATTTACAAATTATCCATTATATAAACAAAAACAGTTTACTCCCTCCTTTTTAATAAGTGCTCCAATTTTCTTAGGCACATATACCGAGGCAAATCTTTGACCAATATTATCTTTAATTATCAATAACTATAAAGTATAACAATTGAAAAATAATAATGTATAATATTCATTGAGGCAATTCCAACAAGCTAAGTAACCACAAGACTATGTTTCTTCTAATGTATATATCATAAATTCACAAACATTTGTCAAAGTAAATCAAATGAGTATAGTGCAAAAAGTGTTAATAGATCACTTAATAAATGGAGGGAGTATTAATAAGATCAATATGGGCAACCTCATTTTCATGAAGATGTTTTGTAAAAATAAAATTCGAAAGAAAAAAGGAAATAAAAACTATAGGAAATTTTTTAACTCTGGAGATGACATGTGTTAAACTTGGTTTTACTTTTATGTAGTTATATATAATAGTTATTGATGTAAGCCACTTTAAATTTTATTTTCTCAAAGTAAACTTTAGTTATAAGATTACTGACATTTTACACTACTAAATCGCTGGATTATTATAAGATTTTTATTAGTGTAATTCGGTCATGAAATCAAACCCCCTATTAGCTAATAGAGCCTGGAGTTGAGGCACAATATGATTGAGATTTACTACCATCCTACTCTCGAGGGTCTATCCAACTAAAGGTTAAGTAAGGTGACTTGTGATTGAGGGAGGGTCAATTAACAGATGAATAATTCATCTCTCCTTCCAAAAAACAACTTCACTTCAACGAATAAATGACAAAATTATTTTAAAGGTCAGTGCTTTTATATGAGTAATATGACCATCGACCACTAATATTTTAAAATGTTGTTGTCCTTAACCTTGCTTACATAAATTAGAGTGTGTGTTGATCCAAACATATTTATACATATTAGTATATTACTGTGGATCTTAACCTCCATTTATATGAATGTACTTTAGCTTTGGATGAACTTGAGATGTAATATTATTAATATTCATTCTTAAATGACAGACCAAATTTCTATTTATAGTTTATCCGTTAAAAATTTATATATTTGTTTAGTGAAATGTTACTTACTGTCACAAAATTACTTATATTGTGATGATATATTGATATTGTACAAATATTCCCCAATCTCCCTAGTTTCTCATAACGAAGAATAAGCAAGGAATAAGTTTAAAAATTCAAACTGATCCTATTTTTTGATAGAGCTTGAATATACATCAAGAGATATAGAGTGATATATAAATTTATAAAAATGAGACCTTAAAGCTATCAAATAGAACTCAAGTGTCAATTCGGATGATCGGATCGGGTATGATGAAGTCGAGTCGAGTCAATTTTTAAAGTTGAGTCATACTATATTATTGTGTCCACGCGAGTCAAAATCTAAATCGGATATTTTTCGAGTCAGTTTCGAATCAGGTCGGATCGGGTGTGATTTTGACACCTCCCACCACTAGATAAATCCTTATTCGCTTTCTTCATAAATTGTGCTAGTCCACTTTTAGATATTGGTGCACAAGTTGCAAAGAATTCTCATCATCAAGAGTCTAATTAACACCATAAAATCAGCAAATTTCCTCAAATAAAAAAAGTATATTAAAAAAAAGAAAAAAAAAAAAAAAACTTACAATAAGTACCCTTTGAAGTTTGAACTCAAAAAAGAAAAACTAAAACTTTACTCTTTTTTTTAGACAACCCCGTAAATCAACAAGTTACCTCATTAGTTTTTAAATATTGCACGATACAAAATACGTACTATATGTAATTAACTTATTATTGTTTCAACGACGGATAATAATTATACTCCGTATCATCAATTTCATAGGTTTCACACTTTCACCATTAGAGTTCATGAGCTTTATGTTTCACGAGCTTTTGCAGATAAGGATATGGTCTTTATGGAATAATATATATCCACAAAAAAAAATGAACTATAATTTGATATGACATGAACAATAGCCAAAATTTTGTAGGAAAATACAGATAAATTATCATTATATTGGTGGGTAGTCTTCATCAATACGTGTCGTTTTAACGTTACAATAACATGAAGCGAATTGATAAGCTGGGGCCATTTTTGGATCGCATTTCCATTTTTAGCTTTTTTATAATTTTAATTTTTGTCCTTGGATTGCCGTACGCTGATTTTATAAAAATGGAGTCATTAGGTGGATTGTACGGCTGATATTTAAAGGTACTCGTAGTACCAACAGAATCTTTTGTGTTGCACTGTCATGGCTGACGCATTCATTTGAGCTTTCTGTTTCACTATACTCCGTACTTTCTACAAGTATTTTCTGGGATAAACATATTTTATACATACAAGTAATTTTGTTTTAATAACCCCCCATCCTAATGCGGATATTTGTTTAATCCCCATTAAAGACACTTTGAGGGTGGGGATCCCTTACCCTTCTCCCCCTCACTCTTAAAATGTCTGACCCGTAAATACCGGACCAAAAAAACCATGAGGGTTGAGGTTTGGTCAGGGTCTTTCTCCGGGCCTGTTCCAATATACTGAAAATAACTGAACTGAACTGAACTGATTGAGACTGAATTGAACTGAACTGAATAGAGCTAAAATGAATTATTTATGAGAGAAGCAAATTAGGAACTGAATTGAACTGAAATTAAGCTGAACAGAACAGGCTCTCCTTACCCAAAAAAAAAAAAAAAAAAAAAAAATTGTTTTAATTGATTGATTGGAGTATACGAATTGTTTAAGGGGAGTTGATGAAAAAATAATTCAATAGGTCAAAACTCACTAATGATTTTGCAAATTTGAAGCCACTAACTATTTAAGAATATAATAGAGACAGTATTGGGTTGAGGGAGAATCTAAATTAAGTTATACTTTGTAATAGGTCACAAATTCAAATGTCCTTTCCTAATTGTAAATTTATTTTAGATTATTTGTACTTATTCATATTGCGACATGCCGACACTTCATCTCACTTTTCCTTGCTGTGTATCTTTTAGATTTATATTACCTTTCTTTGGGGTTTATCATTTAAAAAAAAGAAAAGGAAAATGGAAACTAATAATCCCATCTTTGTCATTTCTATTCAAAACAATCTCACATTTTCGAAATCTGAAAACAATCCCACCTTTTATCCTCCATATTATCAAAATAGGCTTTTTGACCTACAACCTGTTACACAAATTAATTTTATTTTTTTATTTAACTATCTTCTTCAAGCTTAAGTCTCCCTCCTTCAAGCTCCTTCCATGGCCACCACCACACCAACCTCCCTCCGACCACCTTGAAACCCCCTAACCCCTAAATTTAACCACCGCAGCCACCCCTAAACCCGACCACCCACGAAACCCGTAAACCCCACCACCCACAAAACCCCTAAATCCGACCACTCCTTACCTGAAACCCCCCCTAACCCCTAACAAATTCCTAGAAATGTAAGCAACTAACGTTATAACCAAATCAAAAAAAAAATTTAAAAAAAATTAATGAAAGGAAAGGAGTAGCTTAAGGCCTCGTTTGATTGCATATGGAAATTAAATGCCTATACGGAGTTACAATACATGGGAAATTTTATTGCCTAGGAAATACTAAAATTGTATTTGGTTGACATATAGGAAATCGTAATTCCCATGAATTAGTTTTCTATGTTTTGCTTGGTTAACTTATGTAATACCCATGTATTATTATAATTTGAACTACTTTCCAAAAATGTTG